CATATCCACGAGGAACAATGTTACAGAAAGAATTGAGCCTTGTGGCACTCCATTTTCAGCTTTTCTGATACTTGAGAGTGACCCGTTGGCAGCTACTTGAAAGTATCTGTCATTAAGGAAACTGGACAGAATATTTTGGGTCTGTATGTTGAATCGTAGGCCTTTGATATATCGAGGGATACGATTTCCACGTGTTCGTTTTCTTCAAGGCTGATAAGATTTTCAAGCTTGGCGAGGTGTGAATCGACACCCTTGCCGGCACGAAAGGCATGTTGGCGTGGGTCCAATTTGCCTGTTGCCTCCAGTTCGGTAATGAGACGGTGGTTAACTATTCTTTCGAATAGTTTACCTAGGCAGCTGAGTAGCGTTATTGGCCTGTATCCTTCGAGTTGTAACGTTTGTGCATAGGGCGTTGGTTGTTGAAAGCTGTAGCTGTAGCTGATGTTTTCACTTGATATTCGTCGGCCAATGCATTCGTAACTTTTTGTGCATCGTTAGTGTGACCAGTTGAGAGGTTGAGTGTTGTTGTATTGCAATGCCTTTTTCCCTGAAGAATATTGATGCTGGCTGGCTGGAGTGGTCGGGTTAACACTTTCAACAAAGTTCTCCCAACTCGTTTGTTTAGCATCATGTATGGTTTTCCGACTGAACGACCGAGCTTCCTGATATATTTTAGCTGTGATTTTCTGTGGGTCGTTATCGCTTAGGCGCCGGAGAGCTCGCAATCGCTTACGTCTGGCTTTTATTGTTACTTCTAATTCTTGGTTCCACCAAACGACAGTTTTTGGTCCTGAAATCCCTGTAGTTTAAGGGATGCTAGATTCAGCCGCATAAATAACCGTTTTCGTGAATTCATCTACCGTCTGGGTAGACCCGGGACGCAGATATCTACTAGTGAGTTGTTCGTAAAGTTTCCAGTTGGCCTTTTCGAACATCCATTTTGTTCGACGTTACGGTTCGTAGGGTAGATGATCACTACTCGAGTAATCTGGCAATGTTTTCCAGTTTAATTTAGTTGCATGAGATATTGAGCAAATGGAGACATCAAGAGCCTGAGAGGCTCCTGTTGCAGGATCAATGCGAGTGTGGCAGCCGTTGTTGAGGACAACCATGTCGTGTTTCACCATTAGCTTCAAAATAGCTTTGCCACATTTTTTTTTGTTTCGTATGAAGTATTCTGCATCCTGCTTTCCCAAGCGGTGTGATGAGCGTTGAGGTCACCTAATAGGAGGATTGGTTTTGCGACCTCATCTATCAGTTTTTCTGCATTTTTATCTCTAGGTGGGAGGTATACTGAGGCGACTGTTATTGCCATTGGAGCGTACAACTGTACTACGACAGCTTGGATGTTAGAATCGCTATTTGTTGAAAATTTGTTCCTATTCTGAAGTTATCTGCATTCGTTTCTTGCAGACATATGACGACAGGTTGGTATTTTCTGGTTAAAATCTGTAGTTCATGTAGATGCGATCGGAGTCCGCATATGTTCCACTGAATTGCAAACGACGATGTTTTTATGTGCAACCTGGTAGTAGGGGAAATGTCTCTAATGTTGGCCTATGGATCTAAGATTGGGCCCATCGCTAAAAATCTGCTATTTATCAATTTTATGTAGATGAACGCGTTATTGGGACGTTACTTATGGATATTTTTGGTTGCTATTGAAAATTTAGTCGATTGCTGAATTTATGTATGGGCCCAAATAAGGGGCACTTAGGCCGACATTACCTGCATTTCCCCTATATGTTTCAGAAGCAGTTGAAGCTTGTGAGGGTGATTGTGGCGCGGTGCTGTTCTGTTCACCTTAACTCATCTTGGGAAGGAGGATACTAGCTCAATGTATTCGTAACTAGTCTCATCAATGGGCCCTCGAGGATCCACCTCCGGATCTGTGTACGTTTGGTAGTGATCTTCTGTTGGTTTGGAATGTAAATCGGGTTCTGGATTGGTACGAGAGATAGCAGTACTTGACTGATTTGAAACTGGAAAAAGGTGTTGCAATACTTGCCCAGGGTTGCGAGCAAACCACGCCGACTGCCGCCAGAGGCTCGTCGGATCTCTGCGGGACATCTCTAGTCAGTCATCAAGTTAGTCTTCCTAGTCGGTGGTTTGATGTTGATCTTGTGAGTTGAAGGTGTTTGCGGCTTAGCCCATGTAAAATTTTTGGTTTTATGAGGGTTCTGTAGACCATGATTTAGACTTGTAGAATGCTATAAAACCGTGATAAAACCTGCAATGCTACTTGGGAGTGCTGTTCTGATTGAAACACGGCTCAGCTGATGTTTTTATTTTCCATTGTCTGTTGTCCTTTATTGTGGTTGAGTTTGCACTTATTGCTGTATTGTTTTACTGTTTTACGAGTGTCTCCCCCGACATACTTGCGCAGGGTTGTGGGCAAGCCACGCTGACTGCCACCAGAGGCTCATCGGATTGCTCCGGGACATCCCTGGAAAGGGTCGGTGTGGGAGGCCTCGCGCTTTGCGAATCATAGAAAGTTCATCTTGCTGCTTGAACGTTTGATGTTGAGCTTGTTGATTCTGTCATACTCATTAGCTGTTAGAGCAAGAACCGTTGATGTGGTTGCAGCCGAGCTGAAAGTTTGGTGATCAACGGGTTGAAGGAAGGCATTCCGGATCTCCGCATTTAGCAGATTCGCTTCCTCTTCTGGAAGTGAGAGGAGTACTGCACATTCCTCGCTTTCGATCCACGTTTTTGTTCGATTGCTTGTATCTAAGTCGAAGTCAATTTGATAGTTGTGTTCGTCAATATTCTTGCAGAGTGGTGGGCGTCGTTCTTCAGTATTCATGTCCATGTGGCGGAGTCACTTATAGCGTTGGTCGAAAATATTTTCTTACGCAGTTCTTGGTAGATTATTCATCTCAATGTCGATGGCTGAGCTTCGTGTGTTAAGTTCCGCCGAAGGACGTTTACCTCGATTGCTGGTTGTTTCGGTAGGTCTCAATATGCCGTTTTCCAGTTCTGCTACGGGTATTAAGAGCATGTTCGGGTTTATTGTTTTTACGATTATCTCGTCGATTGGCTGGTGGAGAGATGAAGTGTTTGTCGCTTCGGGATTCTCTGTCGGTGGACTTTTTCGACAACAAGACCAGCTGTGTGGGAGTTGATGGTGAGGTTTGTGAAGTGGATTTTTTGATGACAGGCTGAAGGATCTTGGGCGGCTACGGATTGGCTGCGAGGGTTTGGGTTCAGTGTTTTTTTCAAGTTCCTTCTCCAGTATGGCTATTTGTTTTTGTATGGTAGATATTAGTTGGTCTTTGGCTGCCAGTTCTTTCTTTATTTGCTGCTGAACAACTCCACTATATGTTTCTTTTTTACTTCCTTCAGCGTATATACCCTGATCAGTTTTTATTTGAACAATTTTTGCCTCCTATTTGTAGTTTGGACAGCCGCGTTGATATTACTGTATGTTCAGCGTTACAGAGCAATTTGCTGACAGTATTTTCTTGAGTGTCCGTAGAAGCCGCAGTTGAAACAGATCATGGGTGTAGGATAATATATACGAACTTGGATTCGCAGTAAACCGAAGTAGACATAGTCCGGAACGATAGTCTCATGGAATGACAGAACTGACAGAGGCGTGTTTTTTAGAGTGCCGTTTATTCGTTTTTTAATTCTTCGTACCCTGCGAAGCAAAGTGCTACTGTATAGCTTGTTCGTCTTTGTCGATGGAATCTGGATCATATACTACACCTTGTACAGTGTTGAGAGTTGGATGTGGGACAATCGCAATCTTGGTGCCGTCCGTTAATTCCGTCATTTTGACAAGCTTATCAACAATTTTTTTTGAACTGGTGCGAAGAAGATAACTCTCATTTCTGACTTGATCGAGGTTCCAACTATGAAAGGATCCGCAGGACTACAATGCCGAAGAAGTAAACTGGATTGAATAATGCTTGATCCAAACGATGTGGGTACTAGCACTGCGTCGAAAACCAACCGAAACGGCATCTAACAGTCAAAAGCTATCATATGACATGTGTCATTTCGTTCTAATTCCTCAATTTGGCGAAAATTAAACCACTTCTGATCAGAAATGTTATCGTTGCTTGCTGTTTTCAGAATTCACACAAGCACAACATCAGCAGCTCTTATCATGAGAAACACTAAAATACATACATTCGTGACGGTCTTCGGTGACAGTGTCTTATGACAGACCCAGACAACCAGAAGTCGTATAACAATGTACAGACAGTATCGTAAATTGCTACAATTTAAGTAAAAATCGCATATAATAATGGCATACCTCGCATTATGTTTAAGTTAAATCGTATAGAATGCAAATTTGCGACTTATATGCGACGAATCATTTTTTTCCGTCGTACTGTATCACAAATTAAATCGGATTACATCCTAAGACGTTTCAAAAGGATTTTTTTTATTACAGATTGAATCGTATACGATGTTTAGTCAACTCGTTTAAATTTAAATTAAAATATGCACGTATATGGCCTCCACTTTTGTACGTATAAGCGTATGACATTTTAGTTTGGTACTGTAATTTGATAGCTTGTTTGCAATTGTCGGAAGCAAAGGCAGTCGATTATCACAGAAAATGTGTCGACTACGGTGACCGCTTACAAGACTGACCGCAATAGCTGTAAACGGAAGGATACCTCGCGAAATAACGAACAAACTTCAAAGATGCCTTAACGTCTTTGCTGATTATGCAAACACCTGAAAAATTAAAATCAATGCCTCCAAAACTCAAGCAATCATGTTCATCCACAGGCAATCCCCCAAACTAAAACCGGCTCCATCTTGTACTGTAATCTTGGATGGCTGCAGGGATGAGTGATCTGCCGACGTATCCTATCTCGGGATATTGTTGGACCAAAAGCTTCTTTTCTGTTCGCATGTAGAGAAACCCATAGTCAAGTGTTCTGCCTTAGTTAGGTGTCCGTATCCGGTGAATTTCCGCAGATCCAGTTATAAAGCAGTAATTTTTGGATAAATAGCTATTCACTATCATTTGTACTCACCTCGACAAAGAAACGTTGGTTCACCGGCGTACTGCGTGGGTAACGCAGGAGCCCGGTCACCCGGCAGCATGTACGGACATTTTTGCTCTACGGTTTGACATACATCTAGACACGGTCGTATTCGTACTCGTTGCGTTTTTCGGCGTGAACTGGAATGAATCAAGTAAAAAAAAGGTTAACCTCTGTGAACTTGGTTAGTAGCGGTTGCAGGAAATACTACAAAACTGTTCAATTGGCTGTCATACAGTCATTTACTACGTAGGGTAAACGCTCCTATAGTTGTGGTACGTTAAAAGCGTTAGGTTCCCGATGGAGTCTCCTTCCGCAACTACAGGAGTTTTCACCCTACTATGCAAACGATAAGAGGACATGATTACGAATGATAATGACTACCAGTAAAACTTGGCCCATTCGAAAGCTTGCCTTTCCCTCATTCTCGACTGGAAGTATTATGTCTTGATAATGTGTCCCAAGCAGCTGAAAGGAAATTTAATTCGACGCCGTAAAAAAAAGCGGCAGATCATTATTCAGTTTTATTGCGAAACTTGCTCTTGGCTCTTTTGGGCACCCGCCACTACCGGTTGATGGCAGCTTCCGTTCGCTGCAGCACATACAGCCATATTTCTTTCAAGAAAGCTTCACTAGACAAAACTAGTGAAACGTTCTACATATCTTTTGAATAATTTATTGTTCACCAACCAGGGAAAGTAGCCATCCCCAAGCTTAGTGGTAAATTGACGAGCCTCAGTCTTTCCTTTATTCTAATTGATTCGTTAGAAAAGCCAGGCATACCACTCAATAAACACTCCATTTGTTCCACAATGTGCAACAACCAAAGGGCTGCGTCCTTCTGGGCTGTTGACTGGGTAGAAACGGACCTGTCGGTGGGCGTAGTAAGAAGCTTCATTTATTAGCCAGTTCAAATCAGCTTTACTGGCAACGTCTATGCCACCATGAGAACACACAATCAGAAACTATACAAGAACCGGTTGTGGACAACGCTCTAATTTATTCATTCGTGTGAAATTGACAGGAAAAATGACTCGATCCACATACCACAGCCAGTAGGTTCAAGCGCCCATAACCAAGACATCATCCAATAGGGGAGGGTGGTGATCTGTTTGTTAGCAAATCCAGAAGTCCAATTCGGTTTCGGTCGGCTTCGTCTTGAGGGAGCTTCGACTTGAGTGCTTATTAATTTGCCCTGATCTATTATTTATCAGTCTCAGTCTGTGTGTATTGGTACGTAGTTCGTCTGTCCAGAACGGGTGATGTGTTTGCATAGGGACAAACCGGGAGTGCTCACAGAGCCACAAACACATATCCATTTATCTAATCAATTAGGCTTCCAGTTTCTTGAGTAATTTTGCAAGTCTGGAAAGCGATAACAACGGACAACAATGATGATGGAGCAAGGATGAAACCAAGAAGGGGGGGGGGTTGCTTGGCTTAGAACCGTGGGGGGAGGGAACAGCATAACGCACAAAGTTGATGGTGCGATAAGGGAAAGATTTCTGGAACTGAGGGCTAAATGGGCTACGGTGGAAGCTAGTTGGTCCCAGGAGACTCACAATGGTGCTTTAAATGATGCTACTTCGAAAATGAACAAAGCATGAGGAGAATCTTCTATAAAGTTAGTGATGTGGTTCAGTTTAAATGTTTGCATGAGCACGAGTCAAACTTTTGACAATGTAACAACTTCTGTTCTCAACTGTTTTAATATTTTACGAAACGCATGAACATTTTCAGTGGTCTTGTTGCACCAAAGTATGGAATTTGGGTTATGTAAACTTATTGAAAAATCAAAGAGAGAATGAATGCTTATGTAAGTGAGTAATATAATTTTGAATTAGTAAAATGTTGTTGTTTCATGCAGTTTACAACGTACTTGAACATTGTAGGATTGCGATGTCACTTTGATGAGCCAAAAACAAACGGATCCGATAGTGTCATTTTGACTGAAACGCATCTGACACCAGATTGCAACCTTGATCAAATTGAGAATCCGAATCACAAATACTCAGCATTTTTTGTCAAAATCGGCTCATTTTAGGGATAAAACCTAATGCGTAACAACACTACAGCTGGCGATAACTGCTTCCTGGCAGTTGAGGGGAAAAGTTTGTTTTCGAAAGGAATTTATGAAGATGTTTATCATTGACCTACTTGCAGCCATATAGGTAGGTTTTAACGAAAGTTTCGATGACATGTACATATGTTTATGGATGAACGAATGTTATTGTTGGCAATTCCAACATGAGATGGAACGAGCTTGGGTATGCACGTGAACTCAAAAACGTGGTGGAGGCGCTTGGAATGAAATAACATGTTTTTGAACCAACACGTGTTGGGCATAGTAGCAGCACTATCATTGATCTAGTATTGTCTAGCTTGGAGGGCTATGATGCTAGTATAATCGTGGAGGAGATGAACATTTATGAGCATCTGTATTCAGGATGAAGGCATCTGTCAGAACGAAAAAAAATCAAATGTAGCCCTTTACTCTTGTCTACAGAAGACCAAATTACCTTAAAATTAAAATACCAATCTATGAAAAGGGGTATTTCCATGCACAAAAAAAAAAACACATTTTGTCGAAATTATTTTCAAAACATCCTGAAACAGCTACATTTTGGAAGTTGCTCACCAAGAACATTTTCATTCCTGTACCCTACTTAACCACTTCGAGCGAGTAAAATCGGCAGATAGCGAGAGCGAGGAATAGGGTATATGTGTATTCATTAAATACAGTCAACTCTCCACAATTCTACATTCTATAACCCGATATTTTCTAAAACTAGATGGATTCTGCAGTCCCTTCATATTCATATTTATAGTACTACTCTTCATAAGTCGATGCATCTTTTGATCGAAGTTCCATGTAGTGTTATTTTGAGAGCATAACTCGATATATCAAAGGTAGGGGGAGAGGTAGCTCATCGATTCTTCCGGTTCGCCTCCTAGCATCGTGCTATAAGGTACCAGGCGATAACCAGGGTAGTTGATCGATAGCTCGATGACGTGATTTCGTTGACGTATGCAATGGAAAATTCTCATAGCAGGCGTTGACGATGGGACGTTGTCGAGTTGTTGAATAGCAACTATCGTGGTAACTCACCGATTACCTGTCGATCTGCCAAATTTGGAAAGACGTCTGCATTGAATTGTCTCATATAATAATATTCCGCCCACTATATCACAAGAAATTGCGAGTAGCTGAGTGGAATGGAGATAAGTTAAGCATTGGGTACAGGACCAAGTCTCCCCTGGGTGGTTCAAGAAGATGAGCGCAATAGAATCATCAAGTTGCCATATGGCACGGAATGAGACTATTGCATGGCTGGGCAGTCAAAGTCTTCCATTCGTTAGTCATTTCAGGTGGATTAGAACAGGTTTAGGTGGGCGTTGGCCAGATTTGGATTTTTCAGATGTAATCCTGGATAGGACCCTGTCATTGAACGTCGCGTGAAAGTGGAACTTAATGAAGGCCTAAGTACTTTTTCGTAGTTTTTAGTTTTCGGATTTGAAAGATCGTCAGTTACAGTGGCCTGCTTACTGAGCAGAAAAACGCTGTTCCAGGTCCTTACATATCAAAGAGATTTATGGTAAAATCGCTTGTGTATCGTGTATTTTGCAAAACACGTTGTTGTCGTTGGTTCCGGGTTTGAATGGATACACAAATTTGAGAAACGGTATTATGTGATATGAGGGGCTCGGTGGCCTTAGAGCAACCGTTTTTGCTTGCTGAGCAGAACATCATGAGTCCAATCTCAGGCCCATCCACATTCAAGATTCGTCAATCGTTTTATTTGTTAATATGACTACATGGTAATAACAGCAACACGGTGATTAAAAAGGTGCTCGTCTGCCTAGTGGCAAACGTTTTTGCTTACTGAGCAGAAGACCGTGGGTTTAGTCCCAAGCTCCTTCGCGTTATATGATCGTTAGGACATCAATTCAGCTTATCGTTTACCAAAACGAACCCTGCTGCAAACCCAACCCTCTTATCCAACATCCCAGTGATTCCTCGTGGAAGTGCAGAGGTGTTCTCGGCTTCCATCAAAGCGAGTGTCATGTCAACACAATCCTTCCCATTCCTTTCTTGACCTGTGTTCGGGCGCGGCCGGCGCTGGTATTGCCTAATTTAAGATCACCAGTTTTTACACATTGAGGATGATTGCTAGTTCCAAGCATCGTCTATTGGTTCTCTGTGTAATTACAGCTGATCTGGCAGTAACAGAGTAGCAACCGTGGGCGGTCAATCAAGCTCAAGCTCAAGCTCAAGCTCATAACTCGATATATCAAAGGTAGAACTTCGGAGATCATATTCAGTACCCAGGACCATGAGATATATCAAACAGGTTGTATTGAATGCCCAGGGTGGATGCTGGGTTATTATACTGAATGTAAGTAGGACAAACGATTATTAGAACGAATTCCAGAAAATTAGTTCTAAACACTTGCGAAGAAAATTTGAAAAAGAAAATAACCAGAATAGAAGGATAAATAAGACTATTCCATATATAAGACTATTCCATATAGGACAATTATTCCGTTTCATATCAGGAAGCAGAAGAAACAGCTATAGCAATTCAAGGTGTTTACTACCGTAAAAAAAAAACCTGTAAAACCGGGAATCATTAGCGATTTTTTTCCTGGAAAAATCTGGAATTTACAAATTTTTTAACTAATTTTGACGTAGGATTACGTCTTTGATTTCTATATGGGGGTACACTTTGTGAAAACCGAACATAGAACATGTAACACATTAAAAAAGATTTTGAACGTTAATAACTCAGCTGCCCCTGGTCCAATTTCAATAATTTTATCACCAATCGATGAGAAATATTCATACGCATCGATAACAATGCTTCCGAATGTTGATTTTCAACAATGGTTAATGTCCAGCATGGTCCAAAAGCGTCGAATTAACTAAAAAATCCACCAATTACCTACATGCATATGCTGCTTCCCCAGCACAGTCGTCAGAGAGTAGTAAGTAGACGAAACAAGTCGAAGTGGCATTCGCCTCCGATCCTCGGACGCGTGCGAATAGGGAGGATGAAATTGCGTAATATTTTGCACACTCATCGCCATACTCAGAACCAAACGCAAATTCTTCGAGATAACCACCATCCGTCGTCTGGCG